ATCTTGTAGAGAAAATATTTTAAATAATCTGATTTAATTTTGAATGATCTTTTTATTTAAAAGCGTATGAGCAGATATGATCTTTCAATTATTGTGCTGTAAATTGAATGTACATAATAATCACTAGATTATTACATCTTAAATGTAATCATCACTAGTAACCAGGGAAAACATTTTCATGCATGCCTGAATTGCCAAATATATATGTATGCTTTTTGACATGTACCACTTCAATAGCCCAAACATTCAATCTGAACAAAAATATAATGGATAGCATACTTATCATAATTAATAATTTAATTTTGGTGATTGGATTATACCATAGGTATGTTAAATTGGATAACCTATTCACTTTGAATGAGTTTCATTAATGAAAAATTATCCAACAATGAAACAGTGCTATACACTACAGTAATCCATATGGCTCTGAGCAAAGAATAATTCGAAAATGTAATTAATACATTAGAGGAAATAGTGGAAGAACGATTTTAAAGAATGTATTACACACATATACAATTTCTAGAGCTTTAAAGCATATCTGACACTGAAGAATGTTTCTTTGTTTACATGAGTGAGTGGCCCATCTTGATGTTTGTTGCTAGGGAAAGAATATATTATACAGTGAACGCTTTGTTAATAGTGTATTGCAAATATATTCTGGTCTTGTCAGAACATGCTTCTCTCCTGTACAAATAAAAATAAGGATCCCTCATTTTGAAAGACAGATACACTTCTAGAGATTTATAGTACCAACTCCTTAGCTGTGGCTTCATAAGCTGTTTCTGCAAACCTTTCAGTGCTCTGAGAATGAGGTTGTAGAGAAATTTGTTAAAATACATTCCAATGTGTGTCTCTTTGCTCAGTTCACCAGATGTGGAAATTGAATTTATTTTATTTTTTAGATTTCTTCCAGAAGCTCAAGTTGGTGTACCAAGCACCTTCCTTATTCCCCCAAACTGGAGTTGGTTGAATCCTGGTTTCCCAAATCTCAGTGAAGTAAAACAGTGTCATTAAATAGAGGCCATTAAAGTGTCCTAAGATCATGTCTCTGAAATGTAATACAGGAAAGAAAGAGAAGGGTATTTCACTCTATAAATGGTCCACAGTCAGAAACACAAGAAATAGCCCATGAAAAATAGAAAGATATCTTTGAAAACACTACAGGGAGGGAGGGGCAGAGAGGGTGAGAGAGAGATCCTATACGACATGTACAATTTCAACATTGCATGACTTTTTACAAATAAAATTATATCACACTAACTTAAAGATGAAGCACTTAATATTGTGTCTTCGGTATGCTCAATTGAGCAGGAAACTTACCAAATATAAATTTGTTTATACCCTGAATCCTGTTTTTATACCTTACTTAGCACCAAGACTGCAAGGTACAGTAGGTTGCGATCGTGCCAGTCCAAAATGTGAAATTTGATCTAGTATGATTTTAAAAATTGATACCAGATTTTATTTAATATGATTCAAAATGCAATTAGCGTGAGGCTAGTGTGTGTATGGTTGATGCTAGCACATGCACAGTTGTGCTGGGTTTGTAGATGCTAATTGTGCAAAATGGAGAAAAGGAAGGGTCTATTTGAGGAAGGCTCAAAAAAAGGAAAGGCTTGTTTTGAAGAATCACAGCAGAATACTGTAGTAACAGCATTAATTGAGACTTACCTGTAGAGATTACTCCTAAATGCTCAGAATAAGTCTATACTAAAAATTGGTATGAATTATCCCTGAAGTCTGGCCTGTCAAGTAAGTTATTTTCATAACAATTGCCCTGCCTATATAGAACTGGGACAGCTAGCAAATTCTTAATGAAACTGTCCCAAAATTCCTCTTGCACAAAATTCCCTTTAACTGCTTTCTCAATAGGGGATTTTTTTCTCTCTCCATAACAGGCAACAGAATCTGTCAAGCAGTATTAAATATAATTGCTACACTTAAACCTCCTGTTTCTTGATTTCTCAATGATAGTTGAATGGGGACGTGCCAAAATTTGATTTTTTAAATGGCTTCTGAATTGTGCAAGCATTATCTGAATCAGATTGTGTGTTGTGTTAGGTCTCAGCCCTGACAGAATCTACTACAGTGTGTTTTGAAAGATTTCCATATCTTTTCTCCCAGATGTTCTGTTTATTTGTTTGTTTGTTTTAAAATACCTAGCAACTGAATCGCAGTATGCAGTTAAATATTATCAAACATCTTGATGTTGCCTAAGAGCAACATAGTTGTTTGTTAATCATTCATCCTGATTTCTGACATGGAAGATGAACAATATCAGCATGAAGAAATATCAATTTGCTACGGATAATTTGTTGCAATATAAAATTAGATTTGACATCTGGACAGCTATATCAAATCCTTAAGAGAACGTGAATAAAGGACTACTTGCTTCTGGGGTAAAGTTGTTCTGTGTATTTTAGGAAGATGGGAATACTTGCATCCAAAAACAGAGTTTCAGAAAAATTGGCTCTGGAAGAAAATTAGTAATTTTCAGATGCTACACAAAGAGCAGTTTGGATATAATTGAAATTATTTGGATATATTATAATCAGTAATTTGCATACCATAAAAATATTTCCTAATTCAGTTGTTTTTTGGGTGAAACTCACAACATCAAGGCATACATCATTTATATTGTCTTGCTTTAGGTAAGGAGAGAGATATGTGCTTTACCCTTACAATTAAGGAGGAATTTTCACATCCAGAATTTTTTATACTGCATATCAAGAAAACTTAATTTTATTTATGCAAATTTATATTACTTCACAACTTTGTTTTCTGGTATTAGTTGAAGAGCTAGAAAATTACACATTTTTATTAACCATATCTTGATACCCGACCTTTACTAAACATCCTCTGCATCCATAAAACACTACTATAGAAGGTGCTTTTGACTGTAAATTCTCCAGCTTGGACTATTATAAAGGTGGACTAAACATGCAAAATGGGTATTGAGCAAAGAGTATTAGCTAAAATCCTTTTTAAGTTGGAGCCTCTATCCTTTTTTTTTTAGATTGATGTAGAAATAACAATTGAAAATGTTCAGATATTTATTGCATAACACAGAAATAAAATATAAGTATAAATTAGTTTACTGACACTTTCAAGTTTACCTAGATTGTAGCTGGAAATTCTAATCATAATCTTTGGGCTATATTATTTAATATTTGTTTTAATCAATGAATTAAACAGGTTTTTGTGGGGGTTTTAAATATAAAGAAAAGTACTTAAATAAGATATGTATTAGAGGTATGTTAGCCCTTCCATTATACAAAATGTATCTTTTATAATAATGGGATCGTGAAATTTATTTGTACCTTTTCTGAGAATAGATTCTTTTTCTCCGATCATATTTAATTTATTATAGCTTATTGTTACAACATTAGACTAGTCAACTTTAATTAGCACATCTGGCAGTACATCATTTTCACACACTTAGTACTTAGATGACAGGCATTTAAAACTTGCACTCAAGGTTCAGTTGCTATTCCATGTGAACTGATTTTAACTTACATCTCCTTTAAAACATTATGGAGTTTTCAGTTTGATTGAAATCAACTATATATTGTAGTGTTTTGTACTTTAGCCCCGTTAAAATCTTTAAGTTTAATATAACTCATTGCCTTTGCTATTAATCCTGATCATACTGCTTCAAACATTGTAAAGCTCTATTGAATGGTGAATTATTAAATAGAATAATAATCCTGTGTGTCCAATCACACTTGGCCAATAAAGAATTCTATATTCTATTCATTAGCCTTGGGGAAGAAACTGTATTTTTGCCTAGCTTTTCCCATGTATAAATTTCAAACTTTCCTTTTATAAGCAAGTTTAATTAACAAAGAAATTGCTTTGTTTTTTTAAAAAAAAATGGTTTCTGCTTTTTCAGTGAACAAACTGTAAATACTGAGATTCTTTTCACAGGAGAAAATTATATGCCTTGTTCATATTACTATTGATTATTTTATAGGAACAACACTATGTTTAATAAGTTAAAGAGAACTTGCGTATACTCTTTCTGTGAAGATCATTTCTTAAAAGTTGTTGAACTGGAGGTCACAGGAATGGGGACTGATATATATGCAAAAATATGTATAACAAATACATTAGAGCAGATGCACACATACACACACACACATACATACATACATATGTAAGAGGACTATCTATCTATCTATCTATCTATCTATCTATCTATCTATCTATCTATCAGGACAATATATATATTGTCCTCTTAACAGCAATCCAATGAAATAGAACACTTTTAATAGTACATTACTATGTTTTTAATTGTAATTTTAATTGTAATTACAAAATGGATATTACAGGTTTAATGAATAGAATATAGAATTCTTTATTGGCCAAGTGTGATTGGACACACAGGAATTTGTCTTGGTGCAAACGCTCTCAGTATACATAAAAGTAAACATATATTTGTCAAGAGTTAAGAATCATAAGGTACAACAGTTAATGATAGTCATAGGATACAATAAGCAATCAAATCATATTAGGAAACAGTCAATGTAAATCGTAAGGATACAAGCGACAAAGTTACAGTCATACAGTCACAAGTGGGAGGGGATGGGTGATAAGGAGTGATGAGAAGATTAATAGTAATAGTAGTGCAGACTTTGTAAATAGTTGAACAGTGTTGAGGGAATTATCTGTTTAGCAGAGTGATGGCTTTTGGGGAAAAACTATCCTTGTGTCTAGTTGTTCTGATGTGCAGTGCTCTATAGCTTCGTTTTGAGGGAAGGAGTTGAAACTGTTTATGTCCGGGATGTGAGGGGTCTGTAAATATTTTCACAGCCCTCTTTTTGACTCATGCAGTATACAGGTCCTTGATTGAAGACAGGTTGGTAGTAATTATTTTTTCTGCAGTCCTAATTATCCTCTGAAGTCTGTTTGCTTGGGGCCCATACATCACTCCCTTCAGTGTTATTGTGATACATAACTGCTCTCTGTTCCTCTAACATGCTAATATTTTCTTTCCATAGGGATGCTTCATTTGGGAACTGTACATATAATCTATCTATTCTCGACTGTCTGCAAGGACTAAAAAAGGTAACCTTACAGTGCTCAGAGGCAAGAAAATAACTTCTTAGATATTTTTCAAGAATGTAACACAGGACACTGGTAGGCTATGATCAGCCCTAGTTTGCCATTCATTTTTCAAGTCAAGTGTAATCTTTCAGAAGGTTCTGTTGGGTGTTTTTTATTGTTTTCTTTTTTTACACAGTTTAAATACCTTTGAGGGCATAATTAAGAATAAAAGCAACATAGATTGGGAGGGCAGGTGGCTAAGCCTTTTTAAATGTCCATTTAAAAACATTTTCCAGCCTATGAACAAATAAAACCAATAGGGGTACTTTGTCTGAAGCAGCCCCAGTTTGTCTCTACTCCATTTTGAGGGGAGGGATGTTGCTTCACAGTATTAACAATATTTGAACATCAGACTGGGACAGAACAAAGAACATGCAGTATCTAGAGTAGTGAAAATAAATCCTAAAATAATTATTTTTCTTATGTCTGTTTAGGCTGCTAGTGAGAAAGGGGGGGCGGGTTACCATGAAAAACAATGACACCCAATAAAATTCCAATTTCTTAGGTGTTATGTTCTAAGAAGATGTTAAACCATTTTAGAAAGTGGACTGGATTGTTGTTGTTGTTTTTGCCACACCTCTTGATGGATAATTTCAAAGAGTCCTAAAGAGAGTTACAAGGAAAAGTTGCTAGTTTAAGAAAGAAGCACATATTATCTTCTGAATTTAATCACTGGGAGAGATAAAAGGTAGCATTTCTAGCAATATGTTCCTTGTTTCTATTACAGTCTGTTTCATCCCATCACTCTTAGTTAACTATTCTTTCTGGATCAAAATGGAAAGTTTGACTCAAGATAGTTTTGGTTTTGCTAAGTCACAAACTCTACAACAAGTAACAAGCTTGTCTTGATTGTAACACTGTCAACATCATAAAACAATTTCTAAAGATGTAAAATAAGCACTAATTCCATTTATATTATTTCAGAAGGGACTGGATTCTTTTTTTATGAACAGCTTTATGAGAATTTGATATGCTTTTTTCTAGGCCTTACAACATGGATTTGTTGATTTCAAAACATTTGATGCAGATGAATATGAACACTACGAGGTTTGTATATATTTTAAATGATGAAGTTGCTAATTTACAGATAAGAAATTATAAAAATTTGCTGTTACTTGAGACACTTATATACATTTGTTGTAGTAGTGATGATTTTTAAATAGTTGTATATGTTTTTAGTTTCTCCCTGATAAAAGTATCAAGGAAAAGGAATAAAAGATTAAGTTACAGCCCTTGCATTATCTGATACACGAACAAGCTAATTTATATATTATTTAATGGTACTGAAGTCATTCATTTAAAAAATCATTAAGTTGCTACAAATCTAGGAAAAAGTATTGGTTGTTTAATTCCCAAACTTAGACATCTCATTACTCTAGTGCAGTGGTCACCAACCAGTGGGCCATGAGAAAATTTTGGTGGGCCACAGAGAAATGTCCACCCAAAAGCAATTAATGCAGGCTGTACGGAAACACAAGGCTGCACTGCCTACATGACCCACCCACCCACTGGCCCCCACCCCTTGGCCAAGCGCAAACCTGCAAACCAGCGCAGCCCTTGCCAGCCAGGATGACATGATGGTTACACTGAATTCTGAAAATAAAAGTACAGTAATTGTTGGTCATTGTGATAATTTGTCAGTAGAATTAGATGAACTTTTTTTAATACTAGCAAATTGCCAGGTAATCTTTCAGTAAATTTTCTTTTCATGAGTGATATTAGTCAACTATTAAAGCAAAGCTACATTTTAATGAACTTTTCAAAACAAAATACTGTTCAAACATTGAAAAGAGATCTTTTTTTCAAAAAAAAATATTCTCCTTTCATTTTCCATAGAGGGTAGAAAATGGTGACTTCAATTGGATTGTCCCTGGAAAATTCTTAGCATTTAGTGGACCACATCCGAAGACCAAGATTGAAAATGGTATTTATCTTCTTCTTTTTTTGAGGGGGTGGTGGTGGATGGGTAGAATTTTGGTTTGTTTCCTATGGCTAGTTATTGACTATAGTCCAGAGTTGCTATAGTTTACCTAAGTAATTTCTGTCCACAAGATTTGTTTTGACAAATGCAGCTTCTGATAATAGATCTGAGCAACAACTTTGGTTAATACTAAAATCCTGGAAGAAATCCCATGCACAAGAAGGCCTTGGGTGTATGCAGGTTTTTGGAAATTATATTGTTCAGGAAACTTTTTTTTTTACCAATACTGAAAAATTTATTTTTTAGTATGAAGGCAACTTAACATTCTTAACAAGTAAAACTCACTTACGGAGAGTTTGCTTATGGTAGCAAGCTCTGTCTTTTGTACTTTTAAAACTGTTTACCTCTTCCCATTTAAAAATTGCTCCAGAAATACCCTCATATTTCCAGGATAAGTTTTGAGTAAATGTGGAATTGAGTTCTGTGAAGAATATAGAACAGCGATGTCCCTTAACACAGTTGAATTTCTTTTCTTAAATCCACATTATCCAAGTATACATTTTTGAAATTTTAATTATCGTTTTAAAGCCATTCATTGTAATGAAAATCCCATTTTTTTTGTTTGTAATTTTCAGACCCCTCTGTATCCAGTTTCTAAAATCAGCACTTATCTTTGTTATGACTTACACTGTTCAGGAGATCTAAAATACATCTGTTTCCCAGAAGAAACTGTTTATTTTTTATAGCTAATTCCAAAATCTTGTAGCAAAAGTCAAATTTATCTGGACCTTTCATCCAGGTATGACTTCCTCAGATCAAAAGCTTATTTAGCTCTTGGAGTTTTGTTATTCAAATTATTTAAGTTCTTAAACCTATGATTGATTTTTCTTTTGTTCAGAGTTGAAGATAAACTTACCTGATGAAAACATTTTAACCATTTTATTGCTATTAAAGACTTTTGGACCAACAACCTTGAAAATGGTGAATAGGTGAATAGTCTTGAAAGTGATTAGGAAGTGAGTTTGGGACTTCTGGGGAAGATATGGTAAACTGAAGAGATACAGACAACAACCGTGGTAAAATGAAAAGCCAGCTAGTAGACCAGATTTTTGTAATTTCTCTCTGTGTATGGAGAAGATTTGAGATTGCTCACATTTGCTCCTCATGAGGAGACTGCAGGATAATGATCTTCAGTGGGTTTAGAGCTGTGGGAGATAAAGGAATAGCCATCTTGTTATAATCACAGTCAGAACCTTCAAATAACACTAGGTTCGTATGCTACCTTTTCTAATCACTTTTAGAAATTGGTTTTTAACTGCTTTTCAACTATTAGGAACCTTTGGATCAACAAATCTAAAAGTGCAGGGTGAATTTCCTTTAATTTTTAATAAAAGAAATTTTAAATATAAGTTTAAAGATTTTTTTTTGTAAACTTCAAAAGGGTAATTAGAACTTTGATTTTGCATATGAGGATTCTTTATTTTCCAAGGACTGGACGCAAGGCAGTGTAGCAAATCTGTACAAAATTCTTTACTGCAGCATAATAAAAGATTACAAGGTTGTTGCTAATTTTTTAATGTTTAGAACCCATAGTTGATATGCACCTGCAATTGCGTGGACACTGCCCCTAAATATTGATGCTACACCAAATATCAGTTTTATCTCAGCCTTATAAAATCAGTGAATATTACCTTAAATATATATCTATTTTAAACAATTTCATTTTGATACCACTTTAAGAAGTTGTATAAAAAAGAAGTGATGAAAATAAACATAAAATATATGCATGTAAAATTTCACAGTATTGGGTATAATTACTTAAAGAAAGAAATAGCAAATCAGTCAAAATAACAATGCCAAATCTCTCTGAAATATTTACAGTTGCAGTTACAAATATATAGAAGCTGTAGGGGCTTCATCACTTGAGGTGTTTAAGAAAATACAGCCTCCTTTCTGAAATGGTATAGGACAGTGGTGGCTAACCTTTTGGGGCTCCTGTGCCAAAAATTGTGCATGTGCTTGCATGCTCGTGCTTGTGTGCCAGCACCCAGAAGGCAATGTGCACCCCCTATGCATGCACGCACAATTCCCACCCTGCTGCCCCTTTACCTGCACTGCGCCTCACAGCTGATTTTCAGCCAGCTTGAGGCCTTTTTTGGCTTCCCAGAAGCTTGAGTAAGGCTTCTGCAGGCTTTTCAGGCCAAAAACTAAGCCCATTTCATCACTTCCGGTATTTTTGGAAAAACAAAAAGTGACAAAATGGGCCTAGTTTTCAGGCTGAAAAGCCTGCAGACGCCTTCCTCAAGCCTCTGGGAGGCTGAAAAAGGCCTCAGATTGACCAAAAATCAGCTGTAATGCGCACACATGTGTAGTGAGGTAAGTTTGCCAGCAGCTCACATGCCGGCACAAATGGCTCTGCATGCCACCTGTGGCATGCATGCCATAGGTTTGCCATCACGCCATCATTCGCTTAAGCAGGAGATTGGACTAGAAGACCTCCAAAGTCCCTTCCAGCTCTATTCTGATTGATCTGTTTTCATGATGATGAAGATTCCACAAAAAAAGCTTTCTTCTGATTTAGAATTAACAAGAAGAAATGGCTTCTTAGAATATCAGCTGGAACCCTTTAATGTTCTGTAATGTTGATACTTAAGATCAGGGATGGGATTCAAATTTTTTAACAAACGGTTCTATGGGCGTGGCTTAGTTGGTAGGTGTGGCCAACTCAATATCACTCACATCGAGGCTCGCCTGGCCTCTCATGACTGTGGGGATGCTGCAACAGTCATAAGTGTGAAAAATGGTCATAAGTCACTTTTTCAGTACCATTGTAACTTTAATGGTCACACCACACAAGCAAAGTACCAGCAAAGGAGGGGGAAAAAAAACTCCAGAGAAGTTCCTGAGACAGGAAGTCTAGTCCTGCCAAGAAGGTAATAAGGGTTAACAGAGAGGCAGTTTCTGTAAGCAACACCAGAATGTTTCCTTCCTGCCTTCCTTACAGGATTAGGCCAATAATTTCTTCTAACAACCGGTTCTCCGAACTGCTTACAATGTTAACAACCGGTTCTAGTGAATAGGGTGCGAACTGGTAGAATCCCACCCCTGCTTAAGATCTTTTGGCTATAACACTAAAGCATTTAGCTTTGCAACTTTGAATAGACTTGCCTAATAGTATTTGATTTACCAATAGAAGAGAACATCATGATATTATCTAGTTAGGCAATGAAAGGTCTGCAAGAAACCAACCAACCAAACTCGGAGAGCACTAGGACCCCTCAATATTTGTATTACTTTAAAATAGTTTATTTTCATCATACAGTGTTCTTAATGGTTCTGCTACTTGGAGGTGAGATGGAAACATCCAAGTATTCTCATTCTGCTTGTTGTAGGTTACCCGCTTCATGCACCCGAAGCCTATTTCCCATACTTTAGGAAGCACAACATAACAACCATTATAAGACTCAACAAAAAGATTTATGAAGCAAAACGCTTCACAGATGGTGGATTTGAGCACTACGACCTATTCTTCATCGATGGAAGCACCCCGAGTGACAGTATATTGCAACAGTTTTTGAACATCTGTGAGGAAGCAGAAGGCGCTATTGCGGTACACTGTAAAGGTAAGTCTGAATTGCAATACTAAATCTGTTCGACTTAAAAATAAAAAATTAGAATTAAAATTTCTATTCTAATATATATACTGACTTGTATAAATTATTCCAAATTACATGTTTTAAAACTCTTGCCTTAGCTAAAATGTTGCATTGATTTTTCCAACCTATGCAGAGCCATTTTTATTCCACTGAGTGATGCTGTTGCCTTTTTTTTGTAAAGATTTCTCTTTAGTGTTCTTTAGAAGATTCTGTTTTTTGCATGTGTAAGAGTAGTAATGAACTTCCATATAATTTGTGTGAAGTGTGCCTTAACTTCTTGAATCTTTTATTCCACATTCTTTAAATATAATGATTTCATTTGGAAAACCTGAAAATATAGAGGAAGCAGTGTCACTTCTTTTTTTCACTCACCTGTCTTATTTAATTAATTTATCCATTTTCAGTTTTTCCATTGCTTTTGGGAAAACCTGAAAGACTAGGATAGAGACAGATCATCATGGAGAAAATATATCTGTGTGGTTATTAAGAGTCGAAAACAACTTGATTGGCAGATAGTCTAATCTAGAAACAGCCTCTTTTGTAGTCTCCCTGGCCTGTCTGAATTTAATATTTATGTTCCTGTAGAACAAGAGCAAATAATCTGATAACCATACTGCTTCTGGTTTTGCTGTTGAAGGCTAACAAGAAAGGGCATTTCACGAAAGGAAGTTTGTCAGCACTGGGCTAATGTAAAATTGTGGAAGGGTTTATAGCATCAGTCAAGTCTTACAATGCTTGTTAGCTGAAGATTACCCTGGCTTCATGGAAGCTTGTTCCTTTGTATCACTGATCATCAAGCCTCCATTAAAAGGGAAACTCAGACTAAATTCCTACATGGTTACATCCAGGTAGTTTTATGGACATGTTATAAATGTGGCTGTCATTGTTTCCTGCCAGGACATTACTGTGGCAACAGCCAGGATTTCCCAGATGACCTAGCATCTATGTTGACCGTGGGTGATCCTGTTTAGCTTTCTAAGTCAGCAAAGTCGACTTGATATTTTTGTTCAGTTGGGCAAGACCCCATTACTACTTTCAGAAACATACCATCAAGAAATCTCATATTTACCTAGTACTGATGGGAAGGATCTGTCTCTATGGTTATATGTCTGAGGAAGCTGAAGTGCTATTAAATCATGCTTTAAAATAAAAATAATGAACTTAAATGTTTCATGACCTTTTGTCTGACTATTAAAAACAACTGCAGACTGCATGCCCTGCCTCCATTTGTGTTAGTTAATGACATATAATATATTTAATTCATATTCTAACATTGTCATCCTGTAAAAGGTTTCACATATTAAAAGGAAGATAAGATAGTCCTTGGTTTACAACAGCAATTAAGACCACTGAGTGATCTAGTTGTAAAGTGTGACATCATGTCACTGTGTCTCCTAGTGATATTAATTCCAGCAATCCTGGGTGCCACTGTTAAATGAAGACCATTCGAGTTGTTAAACGAGGACCTCATGTGGCTACAACTGCTGACTATCCACCAACTGCCCCATTGACTTTGCTTGTGGAAAGCTGGCAGGGAAAGTTGGAAATCGCAATTACCATATCAGTGGCTTGTACATATCTGTGGCATATCTGTGGCTTGTTGCAACATTGTAGTCATGAGCTGAGCAATAAGTACTCAGATCATGATTATGTGACTGCAGGTATGCTACAACAACTGGAATTCCAAGGACCCGTTGTAAGTCCTCCTCATTCAGTGCCATCATAACTTTGAACAGTCACTCAAGGAATGGTCGCAACCTGAGGACTATCCATACAGATCTAGCTCTGCAAATGCTTTTGATTTGTCATATGTAGGAAATAGGGCTATTCAAAGCCTTGAGAAGATAACTTGAGAAGTAATCAAACTACCTTTCCAAATCAACTTCTTGGAGGATCAAGTCAAAGTATGGAATGCTTACAGTACCTCTACTCCATTTTGGAAGTATCTTCTGGTGCATGGATATATCTCAGAAGGCCATGATAAAAGGACTTGAGGCAATTTGATGAAACCAACAGGAGCTATGGCTACATCTGTGTTCTGGATAGCTTGTATAGCACTAGGAACAAAGCAATATACTTTGAAATGTTTTAAATTATCAGGAATAGAAAAGGCCTCAGAGGTTAAAATAAACATAAATCAAGCATAAACAGAAGAAAGAACACTGACACTGACATACCCTAAACTTTGCTGAAGTTATTACCTAGCCTGATAATGTTCAGAAACCAACCCACAAGCTCAGAGAATGAACTTTCACCTTTATCAATCAAGCTGTATAGAATATAGAAGGTTATTTTTCCTTTAATAGACAGATGACATTTCACATCTAGTTTGGCTGTGAATTTTGTAAAACCCTGAGACCTAGAAACAAACATTTGGAATATATTTGGCATTGCTCAGTGCCAAATATTCAGCAGTGTGGATCTCTTAAAACTCAGTGTTTATGTCTTTTTTTTCATTAATGTAGCTGGTCTAGGAAGAACAGGAACACTAATAGCTTGTTACATAATCAAACACTATAAATTCACCCATTCTGAAGCCATTGCCTGGATACGAATGTGTCGGCCAGGTTCTATTATTGGACCCCAGCAACACTTCCTTGAAGAGTAAGTATGAGAACTACATTAATCATATAATGGAGAGTAGGGGAAAATGTATCCATTACTACTACTAAAAGTAGCTAAAGTTGTCGAAAAGATTAGATCAAGCCATCTGGTTTTCACTATGGGATTTATGACAGTGGCAATGAACATCTGGTTGTTAGCTCTTAGTGATAAAAAAATGATTTAGTAGGTCAATAAAATACAGAATCCTCCCCACAGTGGGACTTGGGTGCACATAGATGCTATAAATACAAGGATGACATTTTGCATAAGGATTTCTGATTTTATATCAGTACCGTAGCTCTATATTACCCAGCTATTCTGTATAATGTCCCAAAAATACATTTGTAGTGAATCACTAGGAATTGTACAAAGTGAACCATGATCTGGGCAGAATGCCTCAAAACTATTCAAGTGTTGCTTCCTGTTATTTCATGCTTAACAGGGTAGTGAAAATCCTATATTCAAAATAATTATTGAAACACTGCGTACTTCTTGTTTTTGTCATATATGAACCTGAAATGGTTTGGGTTTTTGCATTGAAGTTTCTGTATTCCTTGCTATGCTACTTCAGTCTGCCTATGTCTTTAATTCTCTAATTTTCTGAAATTGAGTACCTTGGCACCTTGTTTTGTTATTGGTGATAGTTATCAAAGAGGTTTTAAAGAATAATTAAGGAAGATGAGTGTTTTTTTAAAAAAAAAATTGGACTGAGGCGTATGATACTTTGCAATTAAAACAGTGATACTGCTCCTCATTAAGTGATATTGCTCTGGATTAACAACTATGTAATTGTTCTTTGAAGTCATCTTAACAATAATCTCTCCAACCTAACTTTGAAAGAGGTGTCTCCATCCACCATTCTAAGCAAGCATAAACTTCACTGATTCTTGCAAGGACTTTTTTTTTTCCTGATTTATGTGTTTATGATACTCAAGTCAGCAATTTTTTCTAGGAGCTTGCCTCATTTAATTATATTCCACGTTAGCTTCCTTGCATGGATACTGTTTTCAGTGTTCTATTCCATAGTCATTAATCTCCCAACAGGAATTTTTGTCTGAATTGAAATATATGGGCGACTTTGTTTATTTCTGCCTATTGCTGCAGCTGTTATATTTAATTATCCAGTTAGGTAAAATTGATGGGAAGGATTGATTATGAATGAGAGTAGCAAAATTTAGCACATACATATAAGAAGACAAGGGGAAAAAATGAAAGAAAAAAGTTATTACTGATATATTTAATTCTATAAGAATAAAACAAAAAGGTAAACATTTGCCCTGCCATTCGTGTCCAATTCTAGAGGACGATGCTCATCTCCGTTTCCTAGCTAAGAGAGTCAGCATTGTCCAAAGATGCTTCCATGATCATGTGGTTGGCATGACTATATGCCAGGGTGCACTGAAGTTCTTGGTTCTCTTGGAGCTTGATCGTATTGTTGTATCTGATGATGTCACCTAGTTTGGGTAATAAAATATCTGCAAGAAAACAACCAAGCTCAGAGAATGGTAATTCTTATTTCAACCCTGAGCTACAAATATTCTCTTAGCAATAAATATTTTAATTATAAGGACCAATTGGAGTCTAACTAGATCATCCAATAATTGTGTGAAATTGTATAGATTTAAAGATTTGAAAGGCAGATATTTTAAAAGAAGGCCACACCTCATTTGTACAATGCCACTGATACTAATTTTATTTTTGGTACTATTGAACAGAAAACAGTCAATATTGTGGGTCCATGGAGACATATTCCGAACGAAACAGAAAACAAAAGAAGTAGAAGAAGATAGTTTCAGCAAAGTTTTATCGGACTTTGATGACATTTCTATCAGTGGAACTTCAAATAGAATTGACAATTTGGATAAATACATAGAGGTAAAGTTGCACTGGAATAATCTCCAACCACACTTGAAGAATATGTCAATAATTTCAGAAATAAAATATTTAAAGTTTAAATAGCAGCGTAATATATTCAAAATGTTTGATATATATGTAGTATTACTTGTGTTGTAATGCTTATAGTAAAAGAGGTCAGTATGATTATTGGAATATTGGAAATTACACGGCTGGGCCAAGGAAGAATAATGGCCAAGATGGAATGCAATGGAATCCCATGTAGATATATGATGGGTTCAATAGCTCTTTGCCAAAACTATTGTCTAAAATAAGTGTTTTAGGGGTTATGTTTCCTAAGAAAATTAATTAGAATCATTGCATCAATCATGACTTATTTTTCTCCTTTGTAATTTGATTTCTGGTTCTGATCTAATATAACTTTGGTTTAATTTAAGGCAAAAGTTTCACTCTAAGGAGCAAGATGAGGAAGTAGATCAGGGGTGTCAAACTCGCGATGACGCATCGTCACGTGATGTATCGCAACTTTTCCCCCCCTTCACAAAAACGGTGGGCAAGGCCAATGCCTGACACATCCGGCCTGTGGACCACGAGTTTGACACCCCTGAAATAGAAGAGAAAAATATTAAAAGTTTGCCTCTTATTAGAGGCAAACCTTAGAGGTCTGGAAAGAGCCTGTGTGATTATTTAGTAAATTTATTTTATATTTCTCTGAAATTTATCACCATTTCTCTGAAGTTTAAGATGGCATACAAACAGTGGGGTAGCTTGGATTAAGAGAAAGTGATTGAGCCATGGTCATCCAGAATTCTTGTGATCAGCTGAGGACTTGCAGTTGGTTTTTTTTTTTTTCACTTGTAGTCAGCACTTTAACTATAGAGACCTGGCCAACTTGTTAGAAGAAGGAAAGTGTGTATGTGCTCACACTACATTGTGTTTTATTCACCTTCGTCCAAGTTAAACTCCTCGCTGCTTCCATGTCCAGTATTTTATTATTAAAGTTTGTGACTTAACGGCCACAATGGAGCCTAAAATCTCTATTGTTAAGTGAGTTTTGCCCCCTTTTACAACTTTTTTTTTTTTGCCACAGTTCTTAAGGGAATCACTGCAGTTGATAAGTTAGTAACCCAGTTGTTAAATGAATCTGGCTTCCCCATTGACTTTGCTAGTCAGAAGGTCTCCAGAGGGGATCACAGACCTTTTGGGGCACACAAATGGTCATAAATATGAACCAGTTGCCAACCCTCTGAATTTTGATCACATGATCATGGGGGTGCTGCAAAGGTTGTAACTGAAAAACAGTCATAAGTCACTTTTTTCAGTGCCGTAACTGAACGATCACTAAATGAACTGTTGTAAGTGGAGGACTACCTATATTTCCTTTCAGTATATTGTGTACACATTTACAGTTAAGTTTGCTTTTATTATATTATTCCTTTTGTGCTTAAAACATTTTTAAAGGGATAAATGTGAGGGAGGAGAAGAAAAACCTATTGGCAACTCTAAAAAGACCATAGAAACTGTCGGAATCCTGACATCTAAAGTGATTCCTGTGTCACAGATTTGTTCTCAAAACATTTTTTTTTAATTTAATTATTGTTTTCCAGAATGGTTTGGAAGAAGATTCAGAAGCTAAGAATGACATGACCCAGGGAGATCAACTTTGTGCCTTAAAACTTCAGAGGCAGCCACGTTCAGCTACAACAGGAGCTCTTAGGTGAGTTATTCAGATTCTGTTCTAATATTGATTTTAAAAAAAAAAATCACACCGACATTTTTACTTTTCTAATGGTCTCAGGCAGGCGTGTCAAACCTGTGTCCTCATGGCGGTGTCACCTGATGTATCGCGACTTTCCCCCCCTTCACTAAAGCAGGCGTTTGCTTGGCCAACGTGTGACGCATCTGGCCCACAGGCTGTGAATTTGACAGCCCTGGTCTAGTGTATGGTTTATAACATCCTTCCACAGTACTTTTATAAATTTGACCAGCTGCTAAAGCATACTAGAAGTGGCTACTGCTTGCTATATAAGTAGTGCTTGATTTATGACCATTTAATGACTCTTTGAAATCATGACATGCTTTAAGAAGTGACTTATCACATGATCTAGTTTGGGCAATTGACAATTGACATGTATTTATGATGCTTGCAACATCCTGGGGTCATCTGAGGACTATTTACAATATTCCTGGCTGGGGGGTGGGGAGACAGGGGACAGAAGAAAGTCAATGGGGAAAACCATTGGGTGTGACTCACTTAAACACATCGCTTAGTGATCCCAATTGTAAGTCAAGGACTGCCTGTAATGTCAAAAAGGGATGTATTTGTCCCTAAGATTATCAGGCCTCTATTGCCAATTGATCATTTAAATCCTTATGAAATTTATTGAATGTTGCAATACATTGGCCTGTGGAGTACTATCAATCAATCAAACAGACTAGAGTTGGAAGGGACCTTGGGAGGTCTGCTAGTCCAACTCCCTGCTCAAACAGGAGACCTTATACCCTTTCAGACAAGTGATTGTCCAGTCTCTTCTTAAGAACCTCCAGTGATGGAACATCTAAAAATCTGAAAGCAAGCAGTTCCACTGGTTAATTATCCTCACTTTTAGGAAATTTCTCTTTAGTTCTAGGTTGCTTCTCTCCTTGATTAGTTTCCATCCATTGTTTCTTGGCTTGCCTTCTGGGGCTTTGGAAAATAAGTTTGACTCCCTCTTTTTTGTGGCAGCCCCTCAAATACTGCTATCATGTCACCCCTCGTTCTACTTTTCATTAAACTAGACATACCCAATCCTTTCTTAAAACCTTAAATCCTAACCACAGTTTACTATATGTCCCTCATTTTGTTTATGTGAAGGTGTTAGTGATTGAACCTGTCCATGAAGACCTTGTGTGCTGTACTCTTGACTTGTTATCCTAGCCTATCCTACTCCTATCATATATCCTAGAAATGGGTAATGTGTTGAACTCTGAACCCTACTGTACTAGCCGGCAAAATAAAATTATGGGAAGATGGGAATTGTAATTTAGTTGCACGTATGACCTTCTTCGTGTTAGGGTCATTGAAGAGAATCCTATTTTCAGTACCAGGCTATGTAAAGGACAGTATGCGAGCACAAACCTGATGATTTTTTGTCGATGGCACATAGCTTGCCAGTTCCTTCTACAGAGAGATGGATTCAGCCAACATCCAGTCTTCATGAACAATGGTAGAAATAATTTCCTTTCAAGGAAGACATCTGCTAGATTCAGGGAGGGGGATCTGAGCAACGTTCCAGTATTTATTTATGTTATTTATGTATATATTCATTGATACATTTACTGATTTGCCTGCCTACCTGCTTGGTTGCTTGCTTAACTGCTTTTCTGAATTTGTGGGATATGTGTTTAATTTAGTATATTAGATTGTTGGAAGAGTAAATATTGGCTATATAAATTCGGTAATATATAACCTTTTCAGTTCAATGCTTCTTATGTAAAATATTATTGCCTTTTCAGGTTAGAAGATATGAAAACACATGTCAGATCCATATCCCAGCCTTTCAGGTATTTGTTTTGAATGTTTAGAAAGAAGACGCTGAGCTTGTCGATCAGAAAGATCGGCAGTTCGGTGGTTCAAATCCCTAGCACCGTGTAACAGAGTGAGCTCCCATTACTTGTCTCAGCTTCTGCCAACCTAGCAGTTTGAGAGCATGTAAAAATGCAAATAGAAAAATAGGGACCACTTTAGTGGGAAGGTAACAGTGTTCCATGCGCCTTCAGCGTTTAGTCATGCCGGCCACATAACCACAGAGACGTCTTCGGACAGCGCTGGCTCTTCGGCTTTGTAATGGAGATGAGCACTGCCCCCTAGAGCCAGAAACAACTAGCACATATGTGCGAGTGGAACCTTTATCTTCTGAATTGCTGTTGTAATTGTAATTACATACATAGTATTACTAATAATTACTAAATATTACTAATAGTAACAGTGCTGTGATAGAATGTACAAGCTGTTCTCCATGTTAAAGCTGTAGATCAAAGAATGGTTTTGTAGTTCATTTAATAATAAGGTTGTGAAATAGCAAACATTGACATCCAAGATCCCATGCAACCTTGCTTATAGATAAACTGGGTCCATACACATATAGCATGCAAGGACACATATCTGTTATTTATTGTTCTTTGAAACTTCAGTGGGCAAAAATTAAAGTTTGGAAAGCTGCTTAGCCTTTGGTTTCATAGCTTGATATGTAATTCTTCCTAGATATAACCATACTAATATTTAAAGCAAACTGATCTATCTCATTAAAGCCTGATTCATGTATTGCAGTATAATCGCACTGATAAATGTCCATGGGGCAAGTTATCTTTTGAAGATGTATGGGACTTTGGATCAGTGGTGGGATTTAAAAAAATTACTACCATTCTGTGGGTGTGGCTTGGTAGGCGTGATGTGGCTTGGTGGGCGTGGCTTGGTGGGCTTTGCAGGGGAAGGATACTGTAAAATCTCCATTCCTACCCCACTCCAGGGGAAGGATACTGTAAAATCCCCATTCTCTCCCCACTCCACCAACTTGCTTTCAGGCTCCGTTCTCCTGTGCGGGGCAACAAAAGAAGGCTCAGCCGATCAGCTGGGACTCAGGAGACAGAGAATAGATGGGGGCAGGGCCATTCAGAGGTGGTATTCTGAACTACTCAAAATTTCCACTACCAGTTCTCCGAACTGTTATGATATGTACAGAATAACCCTTGAGTAACAAGGATATGCACATGGAAACATTTATGAGAATAGTTATGAATAATTATCCAGCCACACACACGTACACTAAATTGAGTTAAAGTTTACTTTAAGAAATAGCACAGTACAATAAACAGTCCAGGTCATATACATTTAACAGTCCAAAGAATATCCAATTACAAAGTCTTCTTACCGGTTGCCTTTGTCATTTACAGGAAACAAAGATATCAAAATATAAGCACAACAGAGAACCTTTGATAGCAACAGAATGTCAGAGATACAGAATGTCAGAGAGAGCAAGCCATGATCTCTAGCTCCCTCTTATGGCAATTCACAATACAATCTATCAATCGGAATCAATATGGTGATTTTATGTTAAAGCTACAAACATACATTGTTGGTTTATATATTGCCAACCCAACTAATTGGTGGACAGATTCCTAACACGAACTACTCAAAACTTCCATTACTGGTTCTCCAGAACTGGTCAGAACCTGCTGAATACCACCTCTGTTTTGGATTCAATTCCAAAAAAGTGCTTCAGAGGAAGCAGATTTGCATTGTCTGTCATTAGCCTGCAGTCCCTTAGAGCTCTTTTCCTGAAACCCATTGGCAGCAATTTTAAAAGTAAATGTTGTGTAGGAGGCACCACTTTAAATGCCTGCTTTGAGCTGACATAGAAATGACAGCATTAAGGAAGGCCAACTTTAAGGATGCAATGCAGTTTAAAGGTATATAAATCAGCTTTCTCAATTGTCTACTGAAGTTATGGATTTGGAATTAGATATTCAGAACAAGCCTGATGAATCCAATAGCAGATTCATTCTTTCAGTCAAAGGTGCTTTCATGCAAACTGCATTATGGTAGTTTGCTCCGAATCTCTGAATGATTTTCAGATCATCTTTTTTAGGAAGAGATGCAGTTGGCTAACTAGAAATATAAAATATATTTCTAACCACTTTCTCTATTAAATTATTAAATTTAATAATAAATTTTATTTTATTATTATTAAATTCCATTACTACAGAATTGAAAAAGCATGCCCAAATTATGGATTTAAGTCTTTAAAAAAAAACAACCCAGGTTCTACACACAGCCTATAATACTCATCCATTTTGAGGATCATAGGTTTCAGTTTGTTCATCCTAATTCAACTGGCATTTACACTATGTTAAGGTTTCCACTACTTTTCAAAGAATTCATTACAAAATGGAGAAGAGAGGGAGGGAGGGAGGGAGGGAGGGAGATTATCAGCATATTAATGGTACTTTCTCCCACCTCTTTAAATGATTTCATTCAGAACCTAAATGGCAGAGATGATTAAAAGGGTCTCTTTACAGAGGCAAAAATATGGAGCAGCAGTGCCTTAGTGGACCAGCAAACAAGCAGAAATTAAGAAATTGATCATTTGGCGCTAAATTTCAAACATGAATGTAATCCATTAGTTGTCACTTTTTAAATGGATATTCAGGGATGTATCTGTTAACGTTCTGATTTGGGGGGAGGGGGTGGCTTGTAAAAGAGATATATATATATAAAAGTAATTAGGAAAAATCAAAACATTGGAATCAAAATTTGCATTCAGTACTGAAAAATAATTACATATGTGCTTATATTTTAGGAATGTTTTACTATGTAAGCAATTTTAAATGACTAATGTTCAAAACAACAATTGGGGGATGGGAAGCATACTTATGCAATAAACCTCCATGCTGTTCACTGCTTGAAATTTCTACCCAAGGGTTCATATGTAGTTTTCTTCAAACATGAAAGACTTTTTCAGTCATATTCTTCTTTAGAGATGCTCCCGAATTACGTCAACATTTCATTTGCAGTCCAAGACCAAACATGACCTCTGAAAAGTACCCAAAGGATGGGAGATCCTTTGGCACGATGTTGTGATTCACCCATAGAATAAAATACACCTGCGGAATAAATTATTGTCCTGTTCCTCCATAAGATTTGATTGTGTCCAGACATCTTTAGATCCCAGTTGTAGAAGATATAATTCATCACATGAAAACCCTGAGAATGTTTTAATGTTTCTTATTTATATAAAGATGTATATTCAGAGATCCTGGTATGAAAACTAAATGGATAGAAAAATAAATGTTGTACCAATTGTGTGAACATACTTTTGCTTCCTATTGGTGTACTTTCAGATTGAATACAGCAGCTCTCTCCCAAGGATCCATGTCTCCTTTGAAGGCCACCAAAGTTATCGTTTCGGCATCACCCACAGCAAAGAGAATAAATAGGCATGCTCCATCCTCAGTTCCAAATTTTAAAAGGTATTTTTTACTCTGCTATGTCTTTTATCTTTTGGGAAGAGGGAGTATAGGGACAAAATACTTTATTTTTCATTTGCAATTGGGATTTCTTGTGTAAGAAATCTAAGGTATTCTGAATGCCTTTGATGTAACTTTACCAACTTGCTTCTGATAACTTAGTTTGACTATAGGAATAATTGTATAGTAATCATAGTTTGGCTATGAGCACTTATAAAATTACATTTATATCATCCCATTGATTTCATATTTAAAAAATTACATGCCACAATATTTTTCAAAATAATTTATCCCATATTGGCCTATTCCAGCTTATTAGAAACCAAAAGGAAACCACCTTTAAATAACAAATGCTAGAAAAACATTGCATCAAGTTCCAGGATCACTGGAGATTACACCTATGTATTTCTTCAAAGCACTGCAATGATTTTGCAATTGTTCTTTATCCTAAAATGGTTTCCCCATAATTTACCGAAAGAATTAAGCTGTATGTTGCCATCATTTAATATTGAGAAAGTGATTTTTTTTCCTCTTCCAAGTGCCTTTTAAAGCATGTCTTGCATTGATCATCACCTGTGCATACATTTTGTGTGTATTTTTACCCCACATGTGTTTTCCATTCAGCTTTTCCATAAACTCCAGGTTAGCCAATTCTCTAGGGAACCTGCATGCTGCTTCAGATGATGCTGAGAGCAAACTGACATTATCATCCTCTAGGACAGGTTATTCTGTAAGCCAACTCTCCAGTCATTTGAATGGCAGTGCACTGTTGCCTGCCGGAAATTATCATGAGCTGAACAACAACCTGTACAACAGGAGAGGCAATAGCACTACCAACCTCAACAACTATGTCAATTCTTCCAACGTCCTGGCAGAGGAGTACAACACCTTCAGATCTTTTACGGGGCTCGCTGCTTCTTCAGCAAGATACCTGAGTCGATCGATTCCTGTAAGTTCACAGTTCAGCAGCCCTTTCAGAGACCTTGTAGAGCTTCCCTTCAATCAGAGCTTTCTCCAAAGTTTCTAACAATTCTTAGACCTTCCTTTCTGGTCTTTTTCTCATTTCATGATCTCTTCTTCTTGCGCAACTTGTATCTTTATTATCTCAACCAAAACCAGTCAGCTACTTTTTGTTGTGTGTTTTTTTTGACACTACGGGAAAGAACGATAATTGTTTGGCTTCCTAATTTTTGTAATGTTTTCCGTGAGCGCACCTTTCTTTTTATATCCTTTTTAATTCATTGTAATGAAACACTGAAAGTGTCAGATGTTCATGTCGGTACCAGGTTTTCTTTTTACATTTTTAAAGATACATACAAAGAGCATGGAGAGATTCAGTAGGGTTTTGAATTGTCTAAGTTAGAAGAATTAATTACATTTATAAAGGTAATGTTTGGTTGATAACCACTCATTCAGGGAGTGTTCGAGGTTGTGGCAGTGCTGAACAAGTGGTACTTACAGTCAGTCCTCAAAATTCAAAGTTCCAGCTATTATAGCACCCCTATAGTCCAGGGTTGCAAAACAAACATTTGGCAACCAGTTTACATGATGGTTGCAGCATCCTGCTATCCTGTGATTACCTTCCCTTCTGGCTTCCTATAAGCAAAGTCACTGGGGAAGCCTGCAGGGAAGGTTGCAAGTTGCTCCTGCAACCTTTTCTCCTGTGGAGTCACCTACAGAATGTGAGATCCAAGAGATCTTATACCGCACAGTGCACTTGTACTTCAACATCCCCTCCCTAGCCCCCACACACTCACACAGTGCTGCAGGAACCTTCACCTAACCTACATGTATTCATTGCTGCAATTCCTCAACTCATTCCATACTGTGCATCTGCCCACTGGTTTCTTTGCAAGCCACCCAGGACTCATGACTTCCAGCCAGCTTCCCCAGTGACTCTGCTTGTGGGAAGCTGGCCGGAAGTCACAATCACGTGAGGTCCTTGCTTAGTGACCCACATTTTTTATTTAACTAGCAGTGAGAACTGCCGCAGGTGCCGTCACTATGCAATCTGATCTCAGCACGTTCCACTTAATGACTGCATCACTTAGTGATGAAAATTCCAGTTCAAATTATTGTCGTGAGGTGATGATTATCTGTAAAATAATAAAGAAAAAGTGGGGGAAAATCAGTATTAGTTCTCAGTCTAAATTTAGCCTTATGTTTTCTTTTAGTATATGTCCTCTGTGTGAATGAAATGGATAAAACAAGTAGCATCACCATTTTACATAACTTTTGGAAGGGAAATACCCCAAAAACCCAATGTCCTAAGATGCAGTTTAAGCCATTTGTGCAGGGACTATTATCTCCTCTACATAGAATATAGAAAAGCCTTTGTGGCAACAGCAAGAAATTGTAGCATTCTGAATTTTAGCTGTTGTCTACCTACTTGAACTTGTAAGATTTATCTCTTACATCATCTTTTGAATATAGCATGGAAATACTAAAAATAAAAGAACTAAGGCTTTTATAAATTGTATTTGTTTTATTGGTCAGTATGAGATCTTTCGTTGAGAGTATCTGGCAAATAGGTTACTTTGTTTTAAAAAGAATTCTTGCAAATATTTTTTCTGGCAAAATAATATATTGCACAAATTTGAAACTAAATTATTTTACATGTTTTAAAATAAGTCCGTTCCAGTCGCTACTAAAAACAACAACAACAAAAAGTATATTTTCCACACCCGAGAACTTATTTTTATAATTAGTTACATTGACTACCAGAAAAGCAACACATGATCGTTGTCATCCTTACTGGGATGCTTCAGATGTGGGGAGCCAGGTTTTTATTCTTTGGAGTTCAAATCCTCTGCTGGGAATTGAACTCTGGATCTTTTGGATGACCTCATGCATTGTTTTAGCTTTAGGAGCTATCCAGGCCCTGCAATTCAGTGGTTGTAGGAAGGAATACTCAGAAGTTATCCGAATGGTATACATATAATCTATCTACCCTTAAACTTTTAGAGCAGAACAAAACAGTTGTTACATTATGTCGTGGCCCCAAGCATGGGATTGTACATGACATAATCCCGCTTGGGGGGAGGGGAAAATTGATCTACTTTTATGCAGTGTGTATCCTATGTGGTGTTCTCAGTTACCTTGACCACCAGGAGGCACCATGTGACCAGTTTTGTCCTTGTTTATATCTTTCTGCTTGGAGAGCTGTCCCATTCCGATAGTTTTTATGATACATTTCTGCAGCATAGTACATAAAATGTAAGTTGTTTTGGAAGGTAAGAGCATGTTGAAAATAGAAAGTCCTTCAGAATTTAGTTCACAGTTGTTTTGTTTGGAATATCACACAGTAAGAGAAATCCAGGAAACATCCTGAATGTTTGAAAAGTTGGAGCAATAGAAAGAGAAAATAGGCAATACTGATGAAATATACTTGAGTATTCACAATTGAAGTTTTACTTCATTAAGCTAATTCTGTTATACAACTAGACTAATTTGCGTACTATTTTTTGCATGTATACTGGCTTTGTAAGGTCACCCAGGCAATCTAGTGAAATCTATCATTTGCTGGTATATACGAGAGGAGGAGTTTCTTCCAGTTTCTTTAACAGTTGTCTTTACTGGAAGTTATTACCAGGTAAATGAGCTTATTTAAAAATACTGAAATCATTTCAATTCCATGTCACACTACTATTAGAGCGACAAAAGTTAAGTGGAAATTTACTTTTCCTTTGCAGACGAAGTATCAGCAGTTGAACCAATCAATATTTGTTACAGATATCAGCAGAAAAAAGCTCAAATTATTAGAAATTAGATTGAATGGCAAGCTTTAAACTCTGCTAATTTTCTGCCTGTCCCTATTATTGTTGCTTACATTAACTGTGTATTCATTTTTATTTCTTCCTTTTTCTTCTCTCTAACGTATACAAAGCATGTCACTAACGTTTAAGATGCATTCCTGCTTGATTCATATTTGAACAAAATGAAACTGAAGAATGCTTTCCTTGTTGAAGCTGAAAAGAATATAATTAAGATACAATAGGCAGATTTTCTGTACAGAAGTGAATGTTAGAGATAATTAAGGCTGTGCCCTTTGTTTCAAAGCACTTGAAAGAAAAGGCAGCTGGAATGTTCTTAATTAATGAAGACAAAATTTAAAGATCTATTGAATGCCCAGTTTCTGTGCAAGAACAGTCTTATTGCCTTAAATGAACAGTTTTTATAAGGTTACCCAAATGTTCTGTTCTTTTCCATATATTTTTTATTTGAATTTTCATAACACAGAAAAAGAGCTTATGACAATACTTCCCAATAGTTGCAGGTTGCTTTCTAAACCTGGAGGTAAAATGAACAGGAATTGTTAATTCTGTTAAGAAATAAATTTCTTAATGAAAAGATCAAGAGCCAAGATGTCCTTCTTTGCAGCTCTTACTGATGTTTCTGCTATCTGAAGAGAAGGTTACATCAGTACACCAGGCTTACCTCTGATAGGAAGGGAGAAAGGCCTTACAAAAGAATGATACACCGAATAATGTATGTACTATAGCTACAGTTTTAAACTGTGGCTTGGGATTAGCTTCAGATAAGTATTTCACAGCTTCTGGGCTGTCGTGTGTTTTTTATGGTATAAGAAGAGTACATTTGGAAGATATATGTGTTAAATCCTTTAAAACTGTTTTTTGTTTGTGCAGCAAAGGTCTGATACTAAAAAAAAAATGTTCATATGATTGAAATTGAAGTCCTTCTAACTGAATCTTAATACCAGCTTTTGTTTTTACCTACACAGTCCCTTCAGTCTGAATATGTTCAGTACTAAAGCCTTACTGCTTCGGTGAAAGCTGGACATCTCTTAAAAATCATTTTTCTTCAAAGAGGAAGAATGTTGAAGGAGACACTTCACTGGAGAAATACTTCTTCATACATGATTAGAACTTAAACCCCAAATCTTTGCATAATCAGGGACTTCAGTAGTGACTACTACAAATGTGTTGTAATTGAACTTCTGAATATTACAATTTTGTGTACAGATCAAGATTTTAATATTGAGA